CAAATGTGGACATAGGGAGGTTGAAATCCCCCAAAACTGTGAGGGGTGAGCCATCCTCAGGAAAGGAACTTATCAAGGCGTCAAGCTCATTGATGAACTCTCCAAGGGAACCTGGAGGGCGATAGATGACAAGGATATTAAGCTTAAATGGGCTAGTGACTGTGACAGCATGGAATTCAAATGAGGAGATAGACAGATGGGTTAGGGGAAAAATTGAGAATGTCCACTTGGGAGAGATGAGGATTCCTGTACCACCACCCCTCTGACCAGATGCTCTCGGGGTATGCGAGAACACATGGTCAGACGAGGAGAGAGCAGTAGGAGTAGCAGTGTTTTCAGTGGTGATCCATGTTTCCGTCAGCGCCAGGAAGTCGAGGGACTGGAGGTTGGCATAGGCTGGGATGAAGTCAGCTTTGTTGGCAGCAGAACGGCAGTTCCAGAGGCTGCCTGCGACCTGGAACTCCAGGTGTGGGGTGCGTGCAGGGACCACCAGGTTAGAGAGGCAGCAGCCGCGCGGTGTGGTGCGTTTGTGTAGCCTGTGCAGAGAGGAGAGAACAGGGATAGGCAGAGGCATAGTTGACAGGCTGTAGCAAATGGCTACAAAAATGCAGAGGAGATCGGAATGAAATGAGCTAAGCATCTGGGAGAGGAGAGAGCAGGGCCTCCCTCACCAAAAACTTCTACCTCAGAAACTAAAATTGTTTCACTGAACCACCCGAACAAAAACTCTCCCAACTTCCACCTTTAGAAATCAGAATTGTTGTGAACCACAGCGGTTCAATGTTTAAAGGAATAGACTCAACCCACTTTATTCAGCTAGCTAACTATGACACCATAGCTAACTAGCATGCTAGCATCCAATAACACACAGTTTAACACACAGTTTAGCACCAACACTTGGTCACAACAAACCACCAATAGTGTGATAACACACTAAACAGATCATTCGTGTCTGTGTCAAGTTCCTTTCATGACGCAGCAATGATTAAACGTTGGCTAGCTAGGACAAGTATATTGTATTTAGCTACTTCCGTACAGTTAGCTGGTCGTGTTGGGTAGCTAGCAATGGCCACTGTGTTGACTTTGTTTGAAGAACGGCTAGCTAGCTAGCTTCGTGCTACACCCGGCACACAATGGCTATTGTGTTGACTCTGAAATGCATGCTCTTCAACCAAACGCTGCTTGCACCCGCCCACCCGACTAGAATCACTACTCTTGGCGGGTCTGACCTAGAGTATGTGGATAACTACAAATACCTAGGTGTCTGGTTAGACTGTAAACTCTCCTTCCAGACTCACATTAAGCATCTCCAATCAAAAGTTAGATCTAGAATCGGCTTCCTATTTCGCAACAAAGCCTCCTTCACTCATGCTGCCAAACATGCCCTCGTAAAACTGACTATCCTACCGATCCTTGATTTCGGCGATGTCATTTACAAAATAGCCTCCAACACTCTACTCAGAAAATTGGATGTAGTCTATCACAGTGCCATCCGTTTTGTCACCAAAGCCCCATATACTCCTCATCATTGTGACCTGTACGCTCTTGTTGGCTGGCCCTCACTACATATTAGTCGCCAAACCCACTGGCTCCAGGTCATCTATAAATCCCTGCTAGGCAAATCCCTGCCTCATCTTAGCTCACTGGTCACCATAGCAACACCCATCCGTAGTCTGCGCTCCAGCAGGTACAGTGGGGAAAAAAAGTATTTAGTCAGCCACCAATTGTGCATGTTCTCCCACTTAAAAAGATGAGAGAGGCCTGTAATTTTCATCATAGGTACACGTCAACTATGACAGACAAATTGATTAAAAAAAATCCAGAAAATCACATTGTAGGATTTTTTATGAATTTATTTGCAAATTATGGTGGAAAATAAGTATTTGGTCACCTACAAACAAGCAAGATTTCTGGCTCTCACAGACCTGTAACTTCTTCTTTAAGAGGCTCCTCTGTCCTCCACTTGTTACCTGTATTAATGGCACCTGTTTGAACTTGTTATAAGTATAAAAGACACCTGTCCACAACCTCAAACAGTCACACTCCAAACTCCACTATGGCCAAGACCAAAGAGCTGTCAAAGGACATCAGAAACAAAATTGTAGACCTGCACCAGGCTGGGAAGACTGAATCTGCAATAGGTAAGCAGCTTGGTGTGAAGAAATCAACTGTGGGAGCAATTATTAGGAAATGGAAGACATACAAGACCACTGATAATCTCCCTCGATCTGGGGCTCCACGCAAGATCTCACCCCGTGGGGTCAAAATGATCACAAGAAAATCCCAGAACCACACGGGGGGACCTAGTGAATGACCTGCAGAGAGCTGGGACCAAAGTAACAAAGCCTACCATCAGTAACACACTACGCCGCCAGGGACTCAAATCCTGCAGTGCCAGACGTGTCCCCCTGCTTAAGCCAGTACATGTCCAGGCCCGTCTGAAGTTTGCTAGAGTGCATTTGGATGATCCAGAAGAGGATTGGGAGAATGTCATATGGTCAGATGAAACCAAAATATAACTTTTTGGTAAAAACTCAACTCGTCGTGTTTGGAGGACAAAGAATGCTGAGTTGCATCCAAAGAACACCATACCTACTGTGAAGCATGGGGTTGAAAACATCATGCTTTGGGGCTGTTTTTCTGCAAAGGGACCAGGACGACTGATCCGTGTAAAGGAAAGAATGAATGGGGCCATGTATCGTGAGATTTTGAGTGAAAACCTCCTTCCATCAGCAAGGGCATTGAAGATGAAAAGTGGCTGGGTCTTTCAGCATGACAATGATCCCAAACACACCGCCCGGGCAACGAAGGAGTGGCTTCGTAAGAAGCATTTCAAGCTCCTGGAGTGGCCTAGCCAGTCTCCAGATCTCAACCCCATATAAAATATTTGGAGGGAGTTGAAAGTCCGTGTTGCTCAGCGACAGCCCCAAAACATCACTGCTCTAGAGGATATCTGCATGGAGGAATGGGCCAAAATACCAGCAACAGTGTGTGAAAACCTTGTGAAGACTTACAGAAAACGTTTGACCTGTGTCATTGCCAACAAAGGGTATATAACAAAGCACTTTTGTTATTGACCAAATACTTATTTTCCACCATAATTTGCAAATAAATTCATTAAAAATCCCACAATGTGATTTTCTGGAATTCTTTTTCTCATTTTGTCTGTCATAGTTATTAACGTGTACCTATGATGAAAATTACAGGCCTCTCTCATCTTTTTAAGTGGGAGAACTTGCACAATTGGTGGCTGACTAAATACTTTTTTTCCCCCACTGTATATCTCACTGGTCATCCCCAAAGCCAACACCTCCTTTGGCCGCCATTCCTTCCAGTTCTCTGCTGCCAATGACTGGAACGAACTGCAAAAATCTCTGAAGCTGGAGACTCTTATCTCCCTCACTAACTTTAAGCATCAGTTGTCAGAGCAGCTTACCGATCACTGCACCTGTACACAGCCATTCTGAAATTAGCCCACCCAACTACCTCATCCCCATATTGTTATTTATTTTGCTAATTTGCACCCCAGTATCTCTATTTGCACATCATCTTTGGCACATCTATCATTCCAGTGTTAATACGAAATTGTAACTATTTTGCACTATGGCCTATGTATTGCCTTACCTCCATAATTTACTACATTCGCACACACTGTATATATATTTTCTGTTGTATTTTTGACTTTATGTTTTGTTTACCCCATATGTAACTTTGTGTTGTTGTTTTTATCGCACTGCTTTGCTTTATCTTGGCCAGGTCGCAGTTGTAAATGAGAACTTGTTCTCAACTGGCTTACCTGGTTAAATAAAGGTAAAAAAATAAATAAAATGATAGCCTTTAGCTGAGATTGTGTTTTTTGGCCTGTCTTTTAGATTGGTGCATCATGGTAAAGGAATTGGAGGATTGGTTAGAGAGAATTTAACATATTATTTTATCATAGTAGCATAAATAAATGGTGTTATTTGGACTTATGGTTCATGAGAATACGTTTTGAATGGTTTTTCAAAATGTCCAAGATGGAGGGAAATCTATCCTGACAGATCTTATGGGTCCTTGGGGCAAATTTGTTCAGCATAAAGAAAGACACCTACATATAAAGTTTTAAGTCTTTAGGTCAAACGGGGCGTTGAATATGAGGGTTTAAGTGAGACTGCTTATAACAGTGCCCCCTATAGGCCAATTGGTGCCATTCTTTTTGACCAATTTACTCATGGCCTCTAGTTTCTGTATGCCAAATTAGAAAAAAAGTTACCAATCTATGCTTGAGTTATTTGACCATGTCAAGAAACAAGAAATAAGAAGGATTCAGACAATAACAATAGGTGTTCATGGCTTCGCATCGCTGAGAATCCTTAAAAAATCTAAAAATATTCCCAGACCATCTGCAGTACCCCAGCGGATCGCGAGCCACAGGTTGAAAAACACTGATACTGTATAGGCCTATTGAAGTTTAATTGCTTTGTCTGAATGTTTGTGCCTATAGCTTTCCATATTAGGTCAAAATAGGATTATTTCTGTATTACCTGCTGCAATTAAAATATAGAGAGCAATAGTAATGCTGTCTTTTTGAAGGCAGTTACTCTGCCATGGCTCATTGGCCAAAGCCTATGGGGAAATTAATGGGGTTAAACCCCCCAAAATACGGTCTGTGGTAAACACAGGTTTAGCAGATTTCGTGCTGTGAGATAATCTTCATCAGCCAACCTAATTTTTGTGTTTTTGAAGCGTTTCTGCAATCAAAACAAGCACATAAAGCACATAAAAGGTAATGTTAACACTGACTGATATTATCTCATACAACAAAACGTATAATATCTCCTAAGTCTGTGTTCTCCTAACCCCATTAATTCCCCATTAATTTCCCCCTTAGGAATGTCTGAACGAACCCACGTTAGGTTAGAATGAACAAGAGGAAACTCATTCCTTTTTTTAGGACTACAAGCTGGCTAGTCACAGAGATATGAGCTCAAACAAAACCTGTCCCGTGGCGCCATCTCCTGGATCAAGAGAGAACGACTCGATCTTCAACAACAACCATCATGGCGGCCACCACACGGCTCATATCAAGGTTGACAGTTGTCACGGGTTAGTGTCTTCTTTCACGCTTCGTCGGCCTTTATATTTAATTTAATACATATGTAAGGTAGGTAAATATAACTGCAGTTCTCTGTAGGGAATTAGTAGAGCAGATATATGTGCTTAGCTAGGCGCAATAACTTGTGTTGTTGTAGCTGACCCTTGGTCTAGTTGTTGGGCTTCAATCATTTTATTTCGTTGCAGTGCAAGATTGTAGTTAACAGTCGTTGTAACGTTAACATTGTTTCGACTAAGCTACATCACTGTTACAGTATATCATCTTCAGACATTCTTGAGAACGTTTGCTTTAAAAAAATATATATATCTGTCCTGTGGTATCTCAACAGCAACATAGCCGTCCAAAACAATTTGTTAATGAAACCTTAATGACAATATCCCATTTAAGTCAACTTAACATAAACATACATTTTCTTTAGAGTAGCCTAGGCCATTTTAATTGGTAAAAAAAATAGTTGTCTTCACCTTTGCCTGATGAGACAGCTATGTCACTCTCATTGGATAAAAGGTGAAGACGACAATAATGTTCAATCAATCAAATTTTATTTATAAAGCCCTTTTTACATCAGCAGATGTCACAAAGTGCTATACAGAAACCCAGCCTAAAACCCCAAACAGCAAGCAATGCAAATGTAGGAGCACGGTGGCTAGGAAAAACTCCCTAATGTTGCCTTACAAGAATCTTCACTCAGATGAAATAAAGGCAAGATAGAAATAATACCCTCCCTGCTTATAGGCGACCGCTCATGTGTAGGTGACCAATCATCAGTCCTTTATTATAGACCTTATTTACAGAACATCCAAGTGGTATATAGCCCTCTCTTTACCTGCTGTGAGCTGCAGCAGATTGCCGCCTACATTTTTGCACTACCCATTATCTCCAGGAGGGGGCAGCGGGATTGGCCGAGCCGTATGCCAGCGATTTGCCTCCGAGGGTGCCACGGTAGTGGTAGCTGACATCAGCGAGGAGTCAGCCAATCAGACCCTGGGCAGTCTGAACCATGACCACAAAGGGCAGGACCACATGGCAGCTGCTGTGGATGTTTCATCAAGGGAGAGTGTAGAGAAGCTACTCACAAGCATTCAGGTGATTGACTGATTATCCTAAACCACATGCTGGTGTCTCCTACTAGGATAATAAATCAGTCATGTAACGTTTTTGGACCTTGACCTAAAGCACTTCACTCAGTTCTTCAACAACACAATCGCGAAGTTAGAAATTGCCTGAATCAGAAGAGACATTTTGTGTGAGTGAGTCACTGAATGCCATAAGTGATTAACTCATAAACAATGTGCTGTGATACCCTCCTGCAGTGTCGGTACTTCCAGCCTCCCACAATATGTGTGAACGCTGCAGGGATCACTCAGGATGAGTTCCTCCTGAAAATGGAGGACAAGGACTTTGACAAGGTTATCCAAGTCAATCTAAAGGTATAACCCTTTGTTCTTATTGTCCTGGCCACAATATATTTAAATGAGTGGAAGAAAAGAAGCAAGGGTTTCTCTCTCTGTTTAGGTTCAGTGATTCGTTTATGTTGTTACACCAAAATCAGAGAGTTAAAATGTTTTTAAAATAAACAGTGCTTCCTAACCTCGTATTCAACAAACTCCTCTATCTTTCCCCCTCTCTCTCTCAGGGCACATTCCTCCTGACTCAGGCTGTTGGCAAGGCTCTGGTTGCCTTTGGAGCACCTAAAGGCTCCATTATTACAGTGGGCAGCATTGTGGGCAAGGCGAGTCCAACATCTTAGCTATTGGCCCTCCAGGCATAGGTTATTAGCTTTCAACAGACTTCCTGCCATTCTTTAACATTCTCTTTGTGTTTCTGGCTGTTACCAGGTAGGCAATATTGGACAGGCAAACTACTCTGCTTCCAAAGCAGGTGTGGAGGGCCTGACCAGAACTGCAGCCAAGGAGCTGAGCAGGTAAGGCACACCTGGGTTATGTTCATTAGGGCAAACCGTAGCTAAATGTTTTGCAATAGAAACAAAAATGAGCATTTCATATTATACAAGTTGAGATGGTACCTAGCCTTTTTGGGCTGTTTTCTTCTGTGCCGTGCCTACTGAACACGATCCTGCATTTGATTTCAACACCCCAAATGTTACCCATTCACCAATAGAGAGAAGATAAATAGGCTATAAACATTCTGTAGTGAGCAGGGCCCAGTTTCCTGATAGCGATGGAACTTAGGCTTATGAGTGTTAACAATCCATCGTTCCTATGGCCAAAGATGTAACATGCGTTTCCCAAAACACCAGTGGGTCGTTGGAGCATGTGTCCATCTGATAGGATCTCTCGGATCAGCTTTCTCTTACCTTAACATTAGAATTAGTCCACAATACTGACGATGGATCAGCTCCTAGAGATATATCAACACCTATATGGCTGCAAATATTGAGGTGGTTTATTGTAATGCTTACCCTATAATAACTTAATCACATCATTGTGCACATGTTGTAACACATCATGAAATTAGACAGTGTAGCCTACAATTAGCAAAATAGAACTAAATTGACTGAAATATATAGGCCCATGTAGCCTTTAAGCCTACTGTATGCTTTTATGCAGTCAGCTTAGTTTTCATTTGAAGCATCTTTTTATCCTTCGCTTGTTTGTAACAAATGCAAAGACATTGGCAACTTTGTATTTGTAGTCAAATTCATTCTGAAGTTATTGGCGGTCACAGAGCGACAGATAAACAGCTTGGTTCTATGTTTAGCGGAGATCTTCTGTGTTTAAAAGTGACTCAGAAAGGGGAAAAAAAAAGCATCAAACGACCACTTAGCTGTTCTACGAGTGGTCTGAGGCAGTCTGTAAATAATGAGCGTTTTCAAGTACAACTTCAGTAACAATGGTTTTGGGAAACAGCTCGGCGTTTTAACGATGCTCCTATGAAGGTTCTAATGAACTTAGCCTTAAGATGCGTTTGGTAAACAGGACCCAGGGTGGTTTGAAGTATGACCTAAAACCTAAAATACAACTGCTCTCTTTCTCCAGATTTGGGATCCGGTGTAACTGTGTGTTACCAGGGTTTATAACCACACCCATGACTGATAAAGTGCCAGAGAAAGTAATCAGTCAGGTACGACTGAGTTCTCCTTTTATATTAGATAGAAAGTGACCTCCTGAATGTTGTTTTTGTATAGAAGTGTGTATTTAACTTGCTGTGTTTTTGTTTTGTGTGTGCAGTTTACGTCCATGGTGCCACTGGGAAGGATGGGAGAGCCTGCAGGTGAGAATACTGTATACATACTGTACACCTCTGTGCTATAGAGCACATCACAAATGCAGAGCTCCGTACCCTTTATAGTCAAGTTATAAGACTTAACCCCTCTCTCTCTCTCTCTCTCTCTCTCTCTGTGTGTGTATAGAGGTAGCTGATGTATGTGCCTTTCTGGCTTCAGATGACTCTCGCTACATCACTGGAACCAGTATTGAAGTAACAGGTAATGGACCCACCTGAAATACATTAAAATGATTGATTAATGTTTAACAGGAAATGCCTTTTACTGCTGTCCTGTTAACAAAAAAATGTCTTACTCACCTTCAGGAGGCCTTTTCATTGGCTGAGACAACTTTCCATCATCCTCATTAAGACCAATGAGGCAAGTTCCCATCTAGGTCCAGTAATTGTATATTGATTCAATGTTCACATTGTGCCTTCACTTGTAATAATACAACTGATTGGGGATCGATCTTGTTTTGTAAATCTAGTCAATATGTATAAGGTAAATGTGATTGTGCAATAAATTACAACTGATGTTTGTAACTTTTGAGATCTCGTGTTGTGGAGAGAGGGTCAGTGTTTAGAGGTTTCCAAATGTAACCAAGTTACGCCTCTAAACCCTCTACATTTATGTGCAGTTACTATCATTTAACTAGGGAAACTTAGTCATTACTAACACGGTTGGATTTAGAGATGTTTATAAACACAAAAGGCTGACTTCACACACAGACACACTTATACAGTATGCACACAGAGAAAATGCGTTGGCATGTGGTTTAATTGGAGACTTCGAACGGAAAACAACAAACCAAGACAGTGAAACTGAAGCAAAACAAAAACCAACAGAAAACGTAGCAAAAAAAATAAGAGAACAGTGGACTGTAGAGGGGGAAAAAGGTAAGGAGGCAGCCATAGATCAGAACCAAACTGGGGTGAAAACACTAGAAGTGACCTATTGGGATGATATATAGTGGAAATAAGGTTGGGATGTGACTGATTCTGTGTTCACACACAGGTGGTAAGTTAACTAGAGATTTGTGAATGATGTGGTTGTATTCAGCTGTCTGAGCCGTTGTATGAAGATG